GTGATGAAGACCCAAAAGGCGCCAGACAGGCGCGTTAAAAAAAAGTTGTTGACCAAGAAAAGGATGGAATTGGAAGGAATTTAAAGATTGTTGAATAAGATTAAGATGGGATAGGGATAGGGTTACTGTAGAGAGTCATGAGTAGAAGGAAATGAAAACATAAAAACTGTATGTAACATATTTGTCCTATTTATAGTAGGCCGGCAGTTATAACAGAAGACTTTTTAATTTTTGTTTAAAAAAATTCTCTAAAATAATCACATTCATTGAGTGTTTACGAATGGAACGAGTTATCAGCCTGAATTTGAACTGGTATCATAAGTTGGGATAACTTGGAACTTTAACTAATAAAATTGTCTTTAATTTTCTAAAAACCTCCTTGTCCAGCTTTTGAAGCAAATGTGGGCTTCTAGGACGTTATTGAGTCAAACAGGGCAGTGGAAGGGTGCAAAAACAGACGTGTTAATTTTGTTCCAGAGCTTTTTTGCTCGAAACCATCAACACATCCTTTTTTTTGTTCATTTCAGGAAGATGAAATACAAAATCTCCCGCTGGACAATGTTTGTTTGCTTCTTTTGCATATCCTTGCGACGGATGCATCCGAATTGTATCCACTTGCTAAAGCGTCGCTGGAAGCATTTTGCGAACTTCTGGACAGGTGCCCTGAAAAAGATTCAAGTCTGATTGCGGTTCTTGAAATTATCATACAGCGTCTAATGGATCAAAATGATGGTCTAAGAGAATCCGCTCTGATGGTATGTTTCGTTGTCGCAGTCCACTGACTATTAGTTCTAGGTTTTTTTCAATACATTTTTAATTCGGAATGATTACTATGTCGCAATAACATCAGTGCTTCCACACCACTAGCCCGTAAGACTCCAATGATAACGTTTTGATTTCTTATATGGATTTTGTAGTGTCGTGTCCACGGAATACCACATTACTTTGTCCATCTCTCCTTCCTCACCTCATTTTTTCAAGAGACGGATTTAGCATTTTCTACAACGAGATAATTGTTTAGGTAGCAAACGACATAGGA